ACAACTCAAGTGAACAAACAACCAACGAAATTTTCTGAAGATTTTCCCAGAATTTCCTTATGGGTGCCAACACTCGTTGCTGACCATGTGCACCTTTTCCCTTACAAGCTCTGAGCATAAAGAAGGAGAATAACTTCGGATAGCAATATGGTGTCATCGACGGCGATCGTTCTTGCGTGATACGGAATTTGTGTGTGTTGCTAACACGCATCCCAGGGACCTCATATCGCCACCATAACGATCTCTAGCTCTCAACAAACTATCATCATCATCATCATCATCAGCATCATCATTAGCAACCCCAACCCACCAGCAGTGTATTTCGTATTCACCATGTTGAACTCGATGTTGTCCAGCAGGCCACCTTGTCGGTCTATAAGTAGCTGATAAAACCCCAAGTGAGCAGAAATTTGAGCCCGAAAACTAACCCACCGCCAAAGCCGACATCATCTCCTCGACCTCAGCAACAGAATTCTCCAATTTCGCCATGCCAGATCGTCTGTGTACTGATAGCAGTATGCATAAAAGGCAGATCTTACTGATCTTGCAAATCTTGCAATTTCTCAACGCGACCACTCGAGCCTCTACTCTCCAATACTTGTCGTAAATCTACACCTTTTGCAAGTGCTTCTTCGATCTGTACAACAACAAGTCAATGCTCTCCAGTGTGGTCAACTACATGTGTCGGAAAACTTTGGAAATTTCTTGTTGCTCTACATTTCTACCCGAATTCTATAATTATCGAGGAAACTCCTGAGCTCAGGTGAGGAAAGCGGAGATATATTCCTCCAACACTGCGGACCTCTTCATCTGTCGCAGAGGGCAGCGCTATCGCTAACTGGGACTTCACGCGTTGTCTCCAGTCTTGTTGAAATCCTGCGACTTCACCATAAAATAGTCCGACCTGAGAGGTGTTCGAGTACACTATCTCCTTCAAGTTGAATATTCCTCATTCGTTTATCGAATTACTCCGACCCCGAATCGAAACACACAATCTTTCTTCAATTGTAGACTCTCTCTAGCTCGCACTCTCACTGAAGCGACTCATGTGAACTCAATGATCTCGGAAGCTCATAATGGTTGTGATACTTTCTAAGTCCTGTTCACTATTACTCAAAGTATTACTTAGGTAATCTCCACGAAGTGTTATACCTCGCTCTATCAACTACAACTATAGAGCTGTCTGGCGCGTATCAGTTCGATATGCAGATGCGAAGAATATGCGTTTTCTATTCCGGGATTAATACTAGTGAACAACTTGCTCGAAAGGTCACTTTCACTACATCTCATATCCATAACAATGGAGTTTCACCCGTTTCACGTGAAGTGGCGTAAAACTCGGTGAAAATCTCGATATTCACACTATGCAGTAGTCGTGAAATATGTTTTTCACTCGTGTTTTTCATATCACTAGGGTGAAACTCCAATGTTGACGATGTTTTTGCGATATGGGCTTCCATCAATCGCGGAGAATAACGTATATTTCTGACATCTGCATGTCAATGTAACACACGCTATAGAAAGTATTCATCTACAGTGTGAACAACAACCAAACCGTTATTATGCAAAGTAATATTTTCAACACCTTCAATTTTCGAGAGTTCGAAAGTCAGCTTTGAGTAATATCAACATGATAACAATGTGAATCGATTGACACCAACGTTTTAGAAGCATTCCGTATTCTATATTCGTATTACTCTCGAATTGGAAGAAAGCCATCTCGAAAATCTAGATATGCATAACTGTTTGCTTCGCACTGTATACTAACAGAAGTAGACGCTTACCAGCTTCCTGAATTCGTGCATGAGCATAAGGCAACCACTACGCCTAGCCCT